TGTGCACCTCTGCCTACCCCTTCGGGGATAAAAGGCGTGATGTTATGTTATGTTGCGTCTAAGGTATGTTTTTTTTGTCGCGGAGAACCTAACGGGTAAACGGGGCTCCGGCTCGACGTGCAGGAGAAGGAACGGGGTGGTTTTTAGTCAGTAAGAGTCTGACACTCCCTCCCGCCTCACCCAGGCGGGAGCAGACATTCGATGATTTTGCCCCCTTAAAAAAAAAAAAGGTATGTTTTTAACTGTGTCGTGGTGTGTTCAGTTTTCTAAAAGTGCAAAATGATTTAGTTCAGTATCATGTTCTGAATGTCCATTGGCAAGTTGTTGTTTATTTTGTGGCCATTTTATATATGTATATGTTTGTGACTAAACCCTGTAATGTAGCTAGAGATTGCTATTCGATAAATACTCAAAATCGATCCTGAAATGTGGATAAATATAGTAGAATCGGATGTTGAGGATAGACTGCCTCGTTGGCCGACTGGTCGCAAGTGCGACTGCTGGGCAAGAAGTCTCGGGTTCTATTCCCGAGTCGGGCAAAGAATTACTGGGCTTTTTCAATTTCCAGATTCCGTGCTACTACTGAGGTTTTTACAAACCCAGTAATACTTTGCCCGACCCGGGAATAGACCCCTTGCCCGGCAGTCGCACTTGCGACCACTCGGCCAATGAGGCAATAATTAATTAGTAGAGATTTATCCATTATGAGTATTTATTCGAAATAATATAGTCATCTCTAGATGTATCTACTGTAAGTCTTCTCCTATAGCAATAATGTATGCAGATTTTATATTTAATATTAATACTGAAAGTGCAACTTATAAGAGAAACATTTAAATATATTTTATTTACAAATAAACGTTATGATAGACATTATTTTGTTGTTTTATTCAATTTCCCACTAGCTGACCAGGCAAACTTCGTCCCGCCTAAGGGTCATATACTATACTCGGAATTTTAATTCGATTCCAGATTTGACAATTTCAGTGTTGCAACGATATGACAAGTACTAAATAGTGACGTCGCGAAATTATTCGATATGGAAATGGAATACTTCAGGATCGATTCTTCTCGTTTATAATTTTACTCTCGTAAACTACTAAGTATGTCAGGAAATTAAATATTTCTGAACCTATAATTTATTTTTGACGATTAATTAACGATCTGAGACTTTTCTTTTATAATTGCGTGTGAAATAAATAAAAAAATGTAATCATGAAGGAACTTGACAAAAAAAAAGATAGATAGAGAAGATGTATTATGGTAATAAAATGTCGCCGTCATCGCTATCGCTATCCTGTCACTTTCTGTAACATTTATTATAAAACCATAGATTTATAAATATAACATAGATGTCTGGCTATTGTCTACGGGTAGAATTTAGGATCCATCTTGACGGTAAATTCATAAACATACTGTTGTTTCTTTTTTACTTATGTCTCTTTGCTTATGCAGAAAGAGACAACACATTATTGTCATTCTGGCCAAAATTTTTT